CTCTCTCTCTCTCTCTCTCTCTCTCTCTCTCTCTCTCTCTCTCTCTCTCTCTCTCTCTCTCTCTCTCTCTCTCTCTCTCTCTCTCTGTGTGATTGCGCGAATGATACAGGGTAACAGGGCGCATGGTTCTTTATTTCACCAGCAACCCAATCGGTTGGCAACGGCCAACGGCGAGAACAGGACAGGTTTTTTTTTTTTTTTTGGGCGTTCTTCTGCCATAACGGCATGGCGGGTGTCTCCGTTTTTTTTGTTTTTGTTTTTTAGTCGAAACAACACGCTGGACATGGCCCAGGTGTCTCCGTTTTTTTTGTTTTTGTTTTTTAGTCGAAACAACACGCTGGACATGGCCCACAGACCCAAAAACTGCCCCAAAGCCAACAAATGGCATGCCTAACCCAGGCAAAAATCGATTTTTGAAAATTTTATTTTTCATAATTCAAAAAAAAAAATCCTTTTAGAAAATATAAAATAAAATATAGAGGCAGGTTCCCATGGACACCCCCAACACAAATGTGCAAAAACAAAACAACCTCCCCAGCCCAAAAAAAAAAAAAAAAAAAACTTCCCGCTCACTGTGAACTCCATGAACTACAGCCGGTCACGAAAATAGTGACCGGTGACTGGCCTTCTTTCACGAACCCCGTGAACAGTGAATGGGGTTACGGCACTGCCCAGAACTATCCCGCAATGCCGGTGTGCTCCGGGCTAACTTTCGGACCTGGGGTCCCCCGGCCCAGCCTGCACTAAGCAACGCTGCACCGGGACGCCCGTGCGGACTCGATGAGTCTGACACCGAGGCATGAACACTCTGTGCCTCTGGGAGCCCTTTGCTACAGAGTGAGCCTGAACCTAGCGCGGAAGGAGGGGTGAGTTCCGCTTCCCCCGACCCCTTTTCCTTTCGCTTCTGATTTTGCCCATGGTCAGCCAGGTAGCACGCCGCTTGCAGCTCCCTGGGCCGAGTGCAAGCATTCCGAAACAAAACCGGATAGAACCCGTCGTTTCGAGATAACCGCTTTTTCCTTCCCCGCGCTCTCTCTCTCTCTTGCCGGGCCAAGTTCGTGGAACGCCTTGGTGCGAAACAAGAATCCCCCGTCCGCCCAGGAGATTCAACCCCACCGGCCAAAAATCCTCGGCCACACCCCCATTTTACTCTGATTGCCGGGACGGTGTGCAGGGTGTGAGGTTGCACATCATAAACCACACTCCCCTTGCATAGTCGGTGGTTTGAACCAGGCTCCTCGAAAAAGTCCAACTTGCTGGAGTACACGCCTAAAGTGGGGTACAAAGCGTAGGTTAAATCCTGCTCCTTACCCTTTGAGATCAAGAGTTAGTGATTATCAGAAACGGGTGAGAGATTGGCTGGAGGCTCTCGAGTCACGATCCGATAGCTGCGAAAGTTGTGGAGATGAATCCGTAAGGTATCCTCAGCAAAATTTAGCAGTCTCGTGTGGTTGCAGTCCCATAGGGCTATCCCAGCCAAATGGCTAATAGGCAACAGAATGGAAGTGCAGCCCTTGTGCTGCAGCTGTAAAATATCAGATGAGACAGCTACACATTTGTGGTGGGGCTGTGTGGAATCTAAAAGGGTCTGAGACTCTGGGTGTGGTGGGCAAGGCTGTCACAGTGGCAGAAGCATGTAGGGGTAAATATCAATCAAATGGGCTGAAAAATTCGTGGTGGACCGTGGAGGGCATTATTGGGAATTCAGAAGAAGTAGACCCGGGGTGGTGTTACAAGGCCACAGCTTGCAGGGCCGCAATCATGTTTTCCATTTGGTCTCTCAGGAATAACAGATTATTTAGACGCAAGTTTTACTCTGATTTGGCCATTAATGCCGACGATGAAAACCCTCAGGGGATCGGTATCAAGAATTGGCTGAAGGGTCCCCGCCCCCCGTGAAGATCGTGTTCGACACGGCCCGCTTTAAACCACCAGTACCTGGCCCAGCTATTGAGTCCGAGCCTCGGCCGACCGGTACGCCGATCCATGCCGACGCTCGGACTACCGGGCGAAGGCATCCCGAATGTGCAAAAGGTACAAAACCGAAAAAACGGGCAAAAAAAAACGAATAAAAAAAAAGAAATAAGAAAAATGATCCGAACGTGCAAAGGTACACAACAAAGAAAACGGAAAACAAAAACAAAAAAAAGCAAAGAAATAAGAAAAACGAGTGGCTTCATGCATCTTCCCGCTTTCGCCGGAACATGCATTCCCATTTCGTTTCGAGAAAAGAGAGAGAGAGAGAGAGAGAGAGAGAGAGAGAGAGAGAGAGTAGAGAGAGAGAGAGAGAGAGAGAGTAGAGAGAGTGAG